TCCGAGTCAAATAACTATATGATTAAAATATGAATCAAATAATTGACATTCACACAAAATTTTTATTAGTAACTTATTTTTATATTAAATAATATTTAGATATAGAAATTTGTTGTTTGATGACATTATATATACTGTTAATTAATAAAAATCAAATAATTTTATATTATAGTCAACGAACAATTGATCGCATTTTCTTCCAGTCCTCTCCGGTTAGATTAAACAGTGATCTATCGCTAAATGGATCTCCGGTTTTAAAATCGTTGTGATCGAAAAATACATGAAAATCTCTAATATTCATGTCTTTACCGCTGTCCATCAGATTGTATCCAAATATAAGTTCACACAAACGCCAAACACTAAGACCGAGTTTACGTACAAAAAGTTTGTTGTATTCACTCAGGCTTTAGATATGGGAACCATTAGAGTGGAAGTGAGACAATAGTTTTATAATTGTATAATAAAACCAAAATCATTATAGTTTTACACTTTTTGAAGAATATTTTAATAAAAATTAATATAAAACTATTAGAAATTATTTTAATTTAAATTCTACATAATAATAATATGTTCTACATAAGAATATTCATAGATAATATTACACGTATAAATGAATAAAAATTACTTTTTATTAATCTCTAAAAATATTATGAGTTATCCATGGATAGTTTATATTTGTGGAAAATATGTTTTATAAGTGCATAACTTGTAGCATAAATACCCGGACAAGTGGACTCTCGAGGGCCGGCAATGTTTACTATTTTAGGCTTATGAGTGGACAGCCATTCCACGCATTCCTCTACTAGTGATTCATTGATTTGATCGCAAACTTTGATTATAAGGTAAGGTTTGGAAAGTCGTGTCAACTCTTGTACCGTAAGTTTGGTGCCATCGCTGATGGCATTCACTTCACTGCCATTAGGGATGAGAATTAGTGTGACCTCCGAGTCACGGATATTAAACAAAGTCCGGTCTTCATAGCAATCACTGGTAGTCTCTTTGAGATCATATAAATCACTGATCACTCCATCCTCTGCTCGTCTGCCTCTCGGACACCAACCCGAGTGCTCTATATTTAAATGTATGGCCACATCGAGGGCAGCCCTGTCCACACCTGTCTGTCCACCAGAAACTATACGCACAGACATTATTTGTATTTGTGCTGTACAGGGTATTTAATGTACAGGGTATTTAAATGTATAGTTTTAGTATTTAAATGAGAATAAAGTTTGCGTGTATAATTACTCAAATTATCTAATTTAATATTTTGTAGTAAATAATTCATTTTAACTTATATTATAAGGCTAATAACTTTTAGAAATATTTCAATAACAAAAGGATGCAATCATTGCATAACTGCACAAATAAATTCACATTAACTGCAAAATCAGTTAAAATATGTCCTTCAATCAAATATTGTTAATGATTTGTTTGTATGAAAAATCAAACCTAAAGTACTAAACTCAATGGTAATGCAGTTCGCAATATAGTCAAATACAGGTATATTGTTTTATTGAGCTATTCGTGAAAAGTATTTACTGATGGTATGCTTAACAGAATTTGATAAGATTTTTGATTACAAGTTTGAATAATTATCACACCCTTTAGCAAGTATAGAAATTATAGTTTTTGCAAAGGTTTGACAACTGATTTCTTCATTTATTCAGTTGTGCGCAAAGTATCGTTTATAATATTTGATGCAAACTTTGTTGTGAGCCGAGACACTTTGGCCTTCAATTGAATTCACGTATTTAAGTGATGTTATTGTTTGAAAGTTTACTATAGATTATATACTGTAGTATAGAAATTATTTTTTATATACTGCATATAAATATAATCTAATCAGTCGGGAGTAAAAGTTATTTGATAATTCCTGAATATTTGATTGTATTTATGAACAAATTGTATATAAAGAATTGAAATCAAAATACATTTTACACTTACAAGTAGTTTAGTTGACTACAAACAAGAACCAAATTGTTTGCAAAAATGATATTCTCGACATTATTTAGTTTTAATTCATTTTATATATTCACCGCTGGTTTGATAGCATTGTATTTGTAAGTATTATTTAATTTATTATTTATTATTTGTAAGTATACTTTATAATAAATGTCATCAAACAAAGAATCTCTATATCTAAATATTATTTAATATAAAACTATTTACTAATAAAAATTTTGTGTGAATGTAAACTATTTTACTTCTATTTTAATCATATAGTTATTTGACTCGGAATTTCAAATATTGGTCATCCCGTGGCATCCCTGGTCCCACACCACTGCCCATCTTTGGCACTCTATGGCACCTGTTCTTAAGACCTTTTCCTGAGGGTATTGTATATAATGGCCAAAAATATGGAAGAATATACGGGTAATGCATTGTTTTGTGTTATTTATTATAAATTAAATACAAAGTAACTTCATTTAATTGACACCCTAAACTAATAGGACATACTTGAGTTCGAGACCAATGCTTGTAATAAATGACCCTCAATTGATCAAAGACATGAATATTAGAGATTTTCATGTATTTTTCGATCACAACGATTTTAAAACCGGAGATCCATTTAGCGATAGATCACTGTTTAATCTAACCGGAGAGGACTGGAAGAAAATGCGATCAATTGTGAGTTGACTATAATATAGATTTATTTAATTTTTATTAATAACAATCTATTTAATGAATAGATTAGTCCGACCTTTTCAAGTGGCAAAATGCGAGCAATGCATCCCATTATCATTGATTGCGTGAAGAGATTAGAGAAATATTTGGAGCAGAAGTCGAGGAATGGAGAGGACGTGGAGATGAAGAAAGCGATGGGGAATCTGACGATGGATGTGATCGCTTCGTGTGCTTTCGGCACTAAAATAGACACTCATAACGACCCCAACAATGAGTTTGTAGTGAATGCACAAAAAGTATTTCGAGGGAATTGGAGGATTTGGGTCTTCTTTATACTAAACAGTACTTTCCCTAAACTAATCAAATGGACCGGATTTCAGATCCAAGATCCGAGTGCCAAGAAATTCTTTTCCACAGCCGTTAGTATTATATTAAATAAATATTTATATATAATATTAGTTTATGTAATTGTTAATATAATATAATTTCAGATTAAGTCAATCGTGGAAAGGCGTAAATCGGAGAAAACCAAACAAAGAGATTACATAAATCTTATGATTAACGCACAAAACAAGAAACAAGACACCGATGAAGCAGATGTGGATGACTTGAATGAAGAGATCTTTGGAAAAGTCGATTCGGCGGACGCTTTGAAATATAATAAACAGAAGACAGAGATAACAGATGAAGACATATTGGCCACAAGTTTCTTATTCTTTGTGGCCGGATATGAAACCACTGCTTCTCTTCTGACGTATATGTCCTACAGATTAGCTTTGGATCAAAAGTGTCAACAAAAACTATACGAAGAAGTGAGTCGTTTCGACGGGAAGTATGATTACGAGAGTATCTCGAAAATGCCATATTTGGAGGCATGTGTTGCCGAAACCCTGAGAATATACAATCCCGTCGCAGCTATCGGTAGAATTGCTAACGAAGACTATACTATTGGTTTGTTTTATAGTTAAATATCAGTCACATAAAATTATTAATATTTATCGATATATAGGCGATACCGGACTAACAATTCCGAAGGGGATGATGGTTAACTTTGATATGCAAACCCTACACCACAGCCCTAAGTATTACCCAAACCCTGATCGTTGGGATCCGGAGAGGTTTATGCCCGAGAATAGGGACCAATTGGTTCCATACACTTATATGCCGTTCGGAATGGGACCCCGAAATTGTGTGGGAATGAGGTTTGCCTTAATGGAGGCCAAGACAGCGATAGCCCATTTGATTAATAAATTCAAATTCGTGAGAACACCCAATACTACAGTTCCTCTTGAAATAAAGAAGTTTGAAGTTCTGTTAACAACAGGAGATGTTAACATTGGAATTGAATTAAGAAAATAATACTAATGTTTAAATATTTTCTTATATTTATATCTTCTAAATATTTATTATATCCAAGTATTTTGTATTTAAATATGTAGTTTTATCTAGGACAGTTTGGTCCACTTGTTTTTGATCAATACAAACTATAAACGTTGTATATTAATGTATCGAGAGTATAGAGAGTTTAACAGAAATAAAAGTGACTTTCTTATTAAACGCATTTTTAAATATTTTATTTTATTTTTTTATTTACAATTTAATTACATTTAGAAAGAATAAAATAAAAATAAAAATTGCATAATTAATATAGATTTCTATCGAATAATATGCCCTTGAATATTTATCGTCAAACTTATCGTTAGCAATTTGTTTATGAAAAGTAACCCTAATGTACTTAAATTGCGGTTCAGTATACGTTTAATATATTTTTTTGTATTGATTTTTATAAGTTATTCATCAAAAGTATTTATTCATTACTATTAAAACTTGAATAGCAAGAATTTATAACATTTCAAGAATAAGCCATTCAATTACAAATAAACAAGTACCAGTAATAAACTTAAGATATTTCCAAAAGTTTGATGGTAATTTCATCAGTAACAGTACAATTGAATTTATTTATAGAGATGTGTATTCACATAATTAAAGATGATGTCCTTTACACTATCTCTTTATAAATTATAATACATAAATATAACCATTTTTGAGCTCTTCATTTGTATTAAATAAAATCTTTTTAACAAATCGATGAAAATCTAGAAGTCGTATACAATATGTGTTATGCAAACAAAGCTATAATTGAGTGCAAATTAGTGGCCGATCTTATAATATACAACACTTTGAGCCCACTTTGGGGTCCTGTGAGGAGACGTTTACTCTGTCGGCGCTATCCGATGGGTTCTGACCCGCCGTTTGCTTATGGAGTATGGCTTCGGCTAATTCAAGGAAAGCTCGGTCTATATTGATGTCGGCCTTCGCACTCGTCTCTAAGAACCTAATGTTGTGATCCCTGGCGAAGGTCTCGCCCCTCTCTCTGGTGACCATCCGTTTGTCATTCATATGACAATTATTTCCTAAAATTATTTTCTCCACGTCTTTGTCGGCGTGTTCGTCGATATTTCTAAGCCATTGGGCGATACTATCAAAGCTGTTGGCGTTTGTGATGTCGTAGACCAACATTATACCCATCGTTCCCCTGTAATAGCTGGTGGTTATCGTGTGGAACCTCTCCTGTCCGGCCGTATCCCACATCTGAAGTTTAATCCGTTTTCCTCTCAATTCAATGGTTTTAATCTTGAAGTCAATACCTATGGTTGAGTTGAATGTGGTGTTGAAGGCGTCGTCGCAGAACCTGAAGAGTATATCTTGCTTTCCCACTCCCGAGTCGCCTATTAATAAGAGCTTAAACAACAAGTCGTAAGTCTTTTTAGCCATCGATGAGTCTTAGAATATCAATGGGCGGATCAAATAGACGTCAGTACAGTATAGACACCATTAACACTATTTACTCTAGTTATGTTGTGGATACATAGTATGTATTACATACGGTACCGGTAGTTGTTTGCAAAATATGATGCAAACTTAATTGTGATCCGAGTAACTTTGGCCTTCAATTGTAATTCATGTATTTAAGTGATGTTTTTATTTGAAACTTTCATAATACAATATGATTTATTTTGATACATCGCACACCTTGTTATCTAATCATTTTGGTGTAAAATTATTTGATTAATAGATTGTATCCCAAGAAATATAGTATATAAAGAAATGAAAGTCTTATAAATTATATTCAGTGTTTGTGAATTGGCAGTTATAAATTGCTACTTATAAAAAGTCTTATGTTTTTGTAAAAATGTTTTTCTCCACTTTATTTAGTCTAAATTCACTTTTTCTATTCACTGCTGGTATAGTGGCTTTGTATTTGTAAGTATTATTATATTTTATAACCAAATTTTAAGAATATCCTAAAAATTGTAAGATTTTTATTCATATAGCTATTTGACTCGGAATTACAAATATTGGTCATCCCGTGGCATACCTGGCCCCACACCACTCCCCTTCTTTGGAACTCTTTGGGAGATATTCGTGAGACCAATTCACGAGAATATTCTGTATAATAGCAACAAATATGGAAGAATATACGGGTAATTCAATAATTTATTCTAGCACTTTTTATATAAAGTTTACTCTTTTAGAATGATAATTATATTTAATTTTTAAATATAAAACTATTGTATTATTTAAAAACTATAGGGAATACCTGGGTACTCGCCCGATCCTTACGATAAATGATCCCGAATTGATAAAAGACATGAATATTAGAGATTTTCATCTCTTTGTCGATCACAACGATTTTAAAACTGGGGATCCGTTTCAGGACAGATCACTGTTTAATCTAATGGGAGACGAGTGGAAGAAAATGCGATCAATTGTTCGTTGACTTTCGTGATTAGGTTTTAATTATTAAACAATATATTTAATGAATAGATTAGTCCGACCTTTTCAAGTGGCAAAATGCGAGCAATGCATCCCATTATCATTGATTGCGTGAAGAGATTAGAGAAATATTTGGAGCAGAAGTCGAGGAATGGAGAGGACGTGGAGATGAAGAAAGCGATGGGCAATCTGACGATGGATGTGATCGCTTCGTGTGCTTTCGGCACTAAAATAGACACTCATAACGACCCCAACAATGAGTTTGTAGTGAATGCACAAAAAGTATTTCGAGGGAATTGGAGGATTTGGGTCTTCTTTAGACGATGGATGTGATCGCTTCGTGTGCTTTCGGCACTAAAATAGACACTCATAACGACCCCAACAATGAGTTTGTAGTGAATGCACAAAAAGTATTTCGAGGGAATTGGAGGATTTGGGTCTTCTTTCTGCTGTACACCACTTTCCCTAAAATCCTTGAGTGGACAGGATTTGAACAGACAGACCCGAGTGTTAAGAAATTCTTCTCTACAGCCGTTAGTATTATATTTTTTTAATGTTTTAATCAATTGTTAATATAATATATTTGCAGATTAAGTCAATCGTGGAAAGGCGTAAATCGGAGAAAACCAAACACAGAGATTACGTACAGCTTATGATTAACGCACAAAACAAGAAACAAGACATCGATGAACCAGAAGTGGATGACTTGAATGAAGAGATCTTCGGAAAAATCGATTCAACAGTTTTGAAGAATAAATTGAAAGGCGATATAACAGACGCCGACATATTGGCCACAAGTTTTCTATTCTTTGTGGCCGGATATGAGACGACTGCCTCTCTCTTAACGTTTATGTCCTACAGATTAGCTTTGGATCAAAAGTGTCAGCAAAAGCTATACGAAGAAGTGAGTCGTTTCGACGGAAAGTATGATTACGAGAGTATCTCGAAAATGCCATATTTGGAGGCATGTGTTGCCGAAACCCTGAGAATCTATAATCCCGTTTCAGCCATCGGTAGAATTGCTAACGAAGACTATACAATCGGTTTGTTTAAATAATTGCTATATATATATATGTAATTAATATTTATCTAATAATTTTGTAGGCGATACAGGACTGAAGATCCCGAAGGGAATGCTCGTCAACTTTGACATTCAAAGCCTTCATCACAGCCCTAAGTATTACCCAAACCCTGATCGTTGGGATCCGGAGAGGTTTATGCCCGAGAATAAGGACCAATTGGTTCCATACACTTATATGCCGTTCGGGACGGGACCCCGAAATTGTGTGGGAATGAGGTTTGCCTTAATGGAGGCCAAGACAGCGATAGCCTATTTGGTTAATAAATTCAAATTCGTGAGAACACCCAATACTACAGTTCCTCTTAAATTAAAGAAAATGGAGTTTCTGTTAACAACAGGAGATGTTAACTTAGGCATCGAATTAAGACAATAATATTATAAATGAATATGTATTTTATTAATGTCAATTGCTATTAGATAAAATTATTTTTATTAAAATAATGACCCGATAAATTAATTCATTATCTAATAATAAATGTTTGATATAAAAAATTATTTCATTGTTTTCACCTGAATAATCTGGTAACGTCTAGTTAAGTGGTTTTATATACATTTCCTTCTCTATACTTTATTATAATCATACTTTGATTTAATTCAAAGTCTAATTTTGAAATCTTGTAGTACCTAGTATCATTTCTACTATATCTAAAGTGTAAACAAAATTATTAAGATAGTCTTTATAATTATTTATTGTGTAATATATTATTATTAGAAATATTTAATTACATATAAAAATTATATTAAAATATTTTACTTAAATTTTGAATCAAAATTATTATTGTATAAATAAATATCAATGAATTGTTTACTAAATTTTAATCAATCAAGAAATATTTACTGTTTAGTAACTTAATACTTAAAACAATAAATAATTTTGATGTTTTATTGATTAGCTAATGAACATTAAAATTTAATTGTATTCTGATAATGATAAAATGACTTTCAAAATTTGAACATAATAATTTAATTATTCAAATATTATTTAGACTATTGCGAGAATATCATAAATCAATATAATTATCTGTTATTTATAGCCTAAAAGTTATTTCAATTGAAAACAAAAGTCATTGAGGTTATTGTGACCCTAATGTACTGAATGAACACAAATATAAACATTTAAGTAAATATTTTGAATCATATTCTAATTTATATATCATAAATAATGATAAAAATTAATAAAATACAATATGATATTTTGTGAAAATATTTCATCAGTTGTTTTTCATTAAATTATAATAATTTATAACCTAGTTACTTCATAAGCATTAAAGTTGTCTGAAATTTTGCCGATTATTTCATTTAAGTTGAATAATATTCTGTCCTTGAATTCTAGCCATTTATACTACTCTAGGATACAACATATAAATAAGTTTTTGTTCATATATACAGTATTCAATCAAAATGATTGGATAACAACTTATAAACAATCACTTGATTGTTTGCTCGATTATCCTTGGTATATAAATACAACCATTCAGTTAAAATTAAAGTGAAATCATTTTTACTCCTTAATAGCTTCACATTCAACAAGTTCAAAATGATTTTAGCAAGCTTATTTGGATTAAATTCATTGATTGTGCTAATAACTACTTTGGTCATACTTTATTTGTAAGTTTCAATTAAAATGAAACTTTGTAAGAAAATTACTATTTGATTGTAATGTTTGTAATTTTCAAACCAGTTATTTGACTCGAAATTTCAAGTTTTGGAGTTCCCGTGGAATCGATGGCCCAAAACCAGTACCACTTTTGGGTACATTATGGCAAATATGGTTGAAGCCATTGGCAGAGCTTAACATGGACAATTATAAAAGATATGGAAAAATATATGGGTTTGTAGATAAACAAATTAATAACAAATAATATATTAATTAATTAATTTTAAATAATCCAGCACATTTCTTGGCGATCGACCCGTTCTAGTGGTGGCCGACCCCGAGTTCATCAAAGAGATGAATATAAAAGATTTTCATGTATTTGTCGACCGGAATGACTTCGTGACCGGAGACCCACTTAACGACAGATCACTATTTAATCTGTTGGGAGACGAGTGGAAGAATATGCGATCAGTGGTCAGTCTATTTATAAACATTATTTCAAATATTATTTTAAATGTTTAATAATAAAACTAAATTAACATTTTGATGACCATTTCATAGATAAGTCCGACCTTCTCAAGTGGCAAAATGCGAGCAATGCATCCCATTATCATTGATTGCGTGAAGAGATTAGAGGAGTATTTGGAGAAAAAGGCCGCAAATAAAGAAGAGTTAGAAATGAAGAAAATAATGGGAAACCTGACGATGGATGTGATCGCTTCGTGCGCTTTCGGCACTAAAATAGACACTCATAACGACCAAAAGAGAAATGAATTCATAGTAAACGCACAGAAAGTGTTTCGCGGAAATTGGAGGGTTTGGCTATTCTTTATCGGTGTAACCAGTNTGAAGAAAATAATGGGAAACCTGACGATGGATGTGATCGCTTCGTGCGCTTTCGGCACTAAAATAGACACTCATAACGACCAAAAGAGAAATGAATTCATAGTAAACGCACAGAAAGTGTTTCGCGGGAATTGGAGGGTTTGGCTATTCTTTATCGGTGTAACCAGTTTCCCTAAATTGGTCAAATGGGCTGGATTCAAACTAACTGACCCGGGTGTTCAAAGATTCTTTATGTCAGCGGTTAGTAAACAAAATTTTAAAATTATATATTTTATATTTAAGAAAATTATTAAATAAATGCAGATTAAGTCAATTATGGATAGACGGAAATCAGAGAAAACCAAACACAGAGATTACATACAACTCATGATTAACGCACAGAACAAGAGTGTGGAGACCGATGAACAAGAAGTGGATGACTTGAATGAAGAGATCTTCGGAAAGACTGATCCGACAGAAGCTTTGAAATTAACAAATAAGACCAAAATGGATGTGACAGACATCGACATTCTGGCCACGAGTTTCATATTTTTTGTGGCCGGGTACGAGACAACGGCGACACTCCTATCGTTTTTGTTTTACAATTTGGCGGTCAATGAGAAATGTCAACAAAAATTATACGAAGAGATTAAATCATTTGACGGCAACTTTGAATACGAGAGTATCTCCAAAATGCCATATTTGGAGGCATGTGTTGCCGAAACACTCAGACTTTATAATCCA